ATCTAGCAGCCAGAGGAGGATGTGGACTCCAGGGGCCAGCCACCCAGCTACACAGCAAGCCACGGATAAGACTAAGATTTACAGAGGTAAGAACTGTCACCCTTGCCCACAAGAAAAAGGTAGTTGGGATAATTTAAGTTAAGGAAAGCTGGCTAAAAACTGAGCCAAGCTAAAACCGGCATTCATAAGTAAGAATAAGCTCTGAGTGTGTTTTATTTGGGAGCTGAATGGTGCCCCCCCCCCAAAAAAAAAGAGCCTAAAAACCACCAACATCCCAGGACCACCTGCCCAGAGGTGACACCATCTACAATTAGGTCCTCCTACATCAATCACTAATTAAGAAAATGCCCTAAGGCTTGTCTACAGCTCTATCTTATAAAATCATTTTCTTAGTTGGAGTTCTCTGCTCTCGGATGACTCTAGCTTGTATCAAGTTGACATGAAATGAGCCAGGACCCCCTTTTTATCCCATTTGTGTTTTACTCTCAAATCTGTACAAGGTAATTCAGTTTAAACGGCCAACTCTTTGAAGTATAACCTTTTTTTCCACTGATAAACGCACCTTAATTTTTAAATCAGAAAATATTTAATGAAAATACATACATAAAAAGACTAAGGTGACAGGTATAGTTATGTTCACCTGAAGATTCAGCTATTCAGGAGGCTAGGGCAGGAGGCTCCCTTGAGCCCAGGAGTTAGTGAAGAGATTAAAACTTTAAGATACTTTTCTGAAATGTAAATGTTATTTTCTCTCCAGGATTTTATATACAGTTTTACACACACACACACACACACACACACACACACACACACACACACACACACACCCCTTCATCCCCCTTTTTAGGTAGCAGAGTAGTAGGTTTAACTGAGCTGAAATTGTTGAGAGTGGACAAGATACTATTTGTACACTGGTTCGATATTAAAGAGTACAAAAAAATTCTTTGGTTACATTTACAGGCCACTTATGTTTCCAGATCTGAGAAGTGATAGCTACTATAATTCAACTTTTAATAAGAACTACACAAAATTCCTACTGGAACAGGCTTACATTCCAGAACTTTTTCAATGGAGTTTTTGTTTTTTTGGGTTTTTTTTTTTCGAGACAGGGTTTCTCTGTGTAGCTTTGCGCCTTTCCTGGAACTCACTTGGTAGCCCAGGCTGGCCTCGAACTCACA